ATTTTTACACAAACTACATGTATGATAATTTGGAGTGCACCTTAATTGGATTGTTTACGGTTGCAACCTTTTATAGAAACCACACCCATCTATAAATTCTTAGTATACTGGGTCATGCCACGACCTCTAACACATGGCATCCCCAGAAAAAAAAACAAAGAAATACAATCACAAACACACACAAAGTCCTGTAGTATAAATCAAGCTGTGCTGATCAATTTTCAATATAAAAAAATTTAGCAAGTCTTCGTTCATAGGAGGCCTTAGGAATTGAAAAAATGAAAGAAATGAGGCAAAAACAGGCAATTTTCATTTGAAATCTTCGAGTAAAATACCATTTAATAGAAAGGCAGCTGATGTTTGTAAGCCATTTTTTAATATGTTTGTCATGCAAAAAGGAAGTATATTTTAGGATTCCAAACCTGAAAATTGTCGGTAACTTATGAAGCTGTAAATTGTCAAGTCACTTGACAATGAGATGAAGAAGTCAGCCAGTCTTTCTTGAATGGAATCCTTGGTATCTTCTGATTTGTAGACCAGATGGATCTCTCCATTTTATGAGTTACGAGTTCAATTTGATCCCCATCTTTCAACCAGTTCATTTCAACATCATAACCACCCCAAAAACGGTAAGAAGATCTTTGATTTTGGTGGGCCCATGGTTTTAATGCCAATGAAAGAGCTCGCTTTTCCCCATTTCCACTTGATTAATAACTCAAGAAATTAATCAGTGTCATTAGTAGAATAAGCAAAGCACACTAGCAGTTTCCTTACATGGAGGCCCACTTCTAAAAGTTTCAGCACTGTGCACGAACACATGAACCAATCTGGAAACTTACTTCCTGGAATACTTCACCTTTTTAGACTAGTAGACGTTTCCTACAAAAATGTATATAATATATATCAAAATACATAAAAATAAATAAACAAATAAAATTAAAAAAAATAGTAGACAAAGAAAGGTAACTCAATAACTAAACAGTAGTTTTCTTGTGCAGTAACCTACCTTTGCTAGACTTTGACCCCTCAAAATGTGCAGGCTGCCCCCCCTCAATTGCAATATTCTCAAAGATTTCAATCCACTAAGGCCCTGTATCTCATTCAGTCTCCTACAGTTTCTGAGAACCAATACTTGAAATTGAGAAAGGTGAGAGAGGTTGTGCATAATTTGCAACAATAGCATGCAAAGCTTCTGCCCAAGTGCTGGGGAGATCCTGGACAGCAAATAGCTTCTCACAATAACTCGCAAACAAGCATTGTACTTTAGAAAGGTGAGATAGCTTGGACATAGTTTTCAAACTTTTGCATCCGGAAGCATTAAAAGATTTTAAACTGGTGGGAAGCTCAGGAATTGCTACCAGATCTTAAACTGGTGGGAAGCTCAAGAATTGCTACCAGTTGCTCACAATCATATAGATGCAACTCTCCTAGTTCAGAAAGGAGCTTGCGCATAGTTTCCAAACTTTTGTATCTGTAAGCATTGAGAGATCTTAAATAGCTGGGGAGCTCAAAAATAGCTACCAACTGCACACAGTTATATAGATGCAGCTCTCCTAGTTCAGAAATGTGAGATCGTGGTCACTGTTTGCAAACTTTTGCATCCATAAGCATCAATATTTTGAACGTCTAGGGAGCCTAGTGGGACGTTTGAGCTTAAGGATGGCTACCAACTGTTCACAATTAGCTAAAAGCAGCTTACGTAGTTTATAATAGTGAAATAGGTCGGGCATTGTGTTCAAACTTTTACATCCAGAAGTATTAAGAGGTCTTGTGCTGATGGGGAGTTCAGGGATAGCTACTAGCTGCTCACAATTATCTAGAAGCAGCTTACGTAGTTCAAAAAATGTGAAATAGTTTGGGCATAGTTTTCAAATTTTTACATCTAGAAGCATCAAGAGATCTTAAGCCGATGGGGAGCTCCGGGATAGCTACCAGCTGCCAACAATCATGTAAATGCAGATTTCCTAGTTTAGAAAGGTGAGATAGCTTGGGCATAGTTATCAAACGTTTGCATCAGGAAGCATCTAGGTGTTTCAAACTGCTAGGGAGCTCAGGGATATCCATCTGCTACTCACAATCATATAAACGCAATTCTCTTAGTTCATAAAGGTGAGATAGCTTGGCCATAGTTTTCAAACTTTTGCATCCGGAAGCATCTAACTGTTTCAAACTACTAGGGAGCTCAGGGATATCTATCAGCTGCTCACAATCATATAAATGTAGCTTTCCTAATTCAGAAAGGTGAGATAGCTTGGCCATAGTTTTCAAACTTTTGCATCCGGAAGCATCTAGCTGTTTCAAACTGCTAGGGAGTTCAGGAATATCTATCAGCTGCTCACAATCATATAAACACAACTATCCTAATTCAGAAAGGTGAGATAGCTTGGCCATAGTTTTCAAACTTCTGCATTCGGAAGCATCTAGCTGTTTCAAACTGCTAGGGAGCTCAGGGACATCTATCAGCTGCTCATAATCATATAAACACAGCTCTCCTAGTTCAAAAAGGTGAGATAGTTTGGGCATACTTTTCAGACTTTCACATCCAAAAGCATTAAGATTTATTAAATCGGTAGGAAGCTCAGGCATACTTACCAACTGCTTACAATTATGTAAATGCAGATTTCTGAATTTAGAAATGTGAGATAACTATCCAAATTTTAGACCTATACCTGGACCCAGATCAGGTATAACCCTTGGGTCCAAGGTCGGGGCTCGGCCCATTGCCACCCCTATTGTATAATGTGTATTGTGGGACTGGAAAGTTGAAGTGGGAAGTCGAAAGAGAATGAAGAATAGAGTGAGAAAGGAGACTGGAATTACTTGGCTAGAGATGGCATACATGAATCTGAATTTGTCATGGCATCATGGAAGTGCAAGGCATTAAGGTCGACATTTTTCCCGGCATTCAAATTAGATTTTTGCTTCTAAAATTCAATTTCTGGTGCTGTAAAATCTTGTGCATACACAATCCTATGTTCCAAATCAGTGTCTTTTCACTTGCCTCGGGCTACATCCTTGGCGGTGGCCATAGCCCAGTAACTCAGCTGAGTCTGAGTGGACTTGACCGAGCTGTCTACACCCCAAAAAATGTTACAAAATAGATCAAAACTAATTTTTTTTAAAATTATTTAAAAATTAGAAAAAAGTTAAAAAGGCTTAGAAAACATTAAAAGACAATAGAAGTTGAAAAATATATACGACATATAGATTATTGAAAAATTCGATTTATACCTTGAATATTTTTAAAAAATAAAAAAAGAGAAAATAAATAATTTCCCAAATCATCTTAAAAATCATAAACTATCTAAATACATAGTCCTAAATAAGATATTGTTCTGTTCACATGTTTCTTGATTTTTTTAATAATTATACATATTTTTTACATTTTCCTTTTGCTTGGCAAGTTGGGACAACTTGCCTAGGCCATAGATCAAGGCTAAGTTACTCGGCGGAGACTGACTGGACTCAGGCGGAGACTGACTGGACTCAGCCGAGTCCATGAACATGGGCCCAAATTTCAGGACTTGGCCTAAGTTTCACCTTAAACCTTACTGTTATGTTAAGAATCATCGGTCTGAATCAGGACATGCCTGAGTTGGACTGGGTGATTCAATCTTGGGGCCCTTGCAAGTTCAAGCTCGAGTCATGGTTTTAAACACGGGAGGAACACCATTGTCCACGAGTTACGCGAGTCAAGACTGTCATGGGAAAATCATTTAATTAATTTAAGTAAAAAATTGTTTTATGCAGGCTGGACGGCATGACTACATATGCAGTCCAAAAAGTGTAAAGCATCTATCTTAAAGATGGATGCAAGTAGGTGTTCCATCTAAAAACAATGGAAACTAATGGTCCAAATAATTTTTTATTAAAATTATTATTTTTAGCTTTAAAAATTTATTTATTTTTCATATTTATGATCTCAATGTCAGAGATTACATGTCCTTAAAAAATTAAGTCAAAAAATCCATCGCAAAAGTAGATTTATTAATAAGTCCGCATTTCTACATATGTGGACTTAGCCCCATAGAAACCGGGTCCAATTTAAATATGAGGAGAAATGAACAGTTCAATGGAAAAATAATAATAAAAAACACAAAATGAAAACAGTTAAGAAAATAAAGAATAATGTTTTGACAATGCCTAAAATCTTTAATAAAAGTTTCCTAACCTTGGACTAATTTTGGTAGAAATTTCTCCAAGTAGTTTCTCAACTTCCAACTCAAGAAACATGATCCTAAATTCCTGATTGTTTGTTTCATTGTTTTCCCATAGTTACTTCTATTTAAATCTTTTGTGACAACAAATTTATTTTTCCTACGCCTCCATTTATTTTCATTAGTTAAAAAGTAACTAAATTTATGCTTTTATCAAAAAATATCTTAAATTATTATTTTTTACTTTATTTTATTCTTTATTACTAAAAAATACCTCAATTTATTTTTCCTACAAAAAATTCTTCAGTTTATTTTAATTAGCATATTTTTTTTTTTTAGAGGAATGCTTATTAAGTCTTTTTTAGGTCAAATTATAATAATAACCACCCCGGCCAATTCGGACCAATTCGTATTGATCTGGATCAACTACTGAACACAGGAATGGTGGGTGGACGTTCCACCCCATTGATTCTAAACACCGGTGACAGTTATGATGTGATGTATTACTGCTCATGGGTAATCCATCAATTGAATAATTGATGGATATGTGCTTCTTGATCTCTTGTAAAATTGATCATGAGATTAGTGGTAGAGGCCAGTTTGGTCCTTGGATTATAATATCAAACATGGGTAACTAAGCTTGAATCGATCAAAGTGATGCTGAGAGAAAAAAGAAAGAGGGGCGAAGGCTCTTATTGTTGGGAAAGCACATCGGAAATAGAGAGGAAGAGTTGTTGTTGTTGTTATTATTATTATTATTATTATTGTTATTGTTATTGTTTTTGTTCTTGTGTTGTTCTTGTTTTTGTTCTTGTTCTGTTGCTGTTGCTGTTGCTGTTGTTGTTGTTGTTGTTGTCGTTGTTGCTGCTGCTGCTGTTATTGCTGTTGTTGTTGTTGTTGTTGCTGCTGTTGTTGGTGATGTTGTTGTTGTTGTTATTATTGTTGTTGATGCTGTTGTCGTTGTTGTTGCTGCGGATTATCACTCGGCCCCAAGTTTCTTAGAGTCACTAGGAGAACTAGAGAAGCAAATTTTATTGCAGGCACCCTAGAAAAGGAAGGGCTATCACACATAGAACTGATATACTGAACTATGACCTCCCTCACATTTATGTATCACATTTAAAAATGGGTGTGGTTTGTATAAGGTTGTAACCTTAAACAATCCAATTAAGGCACACCTCCAAATTTATCATAACATATAAATTTGGTGTAAAACATTCTTAAGATTATCTGAAAATTTATTTTCATCTCTAATTATAAAGTTTTAAACTCCAAAAATGGTTAAAATCAAGTAGATATATAAACATATGAAAATCTTGAAAATGGACGGCTTAGATAATGTGTTGCAAGATGCACTATTTTTGGGACTCAAAATCTTTTTTATTTTTATTTTTTTTCTATATTCATACATCTCGATGTCAAGATGATCAATTAGAAGGTTTTTCAATATTAAAACAACCTTTTTCAATGGAATTTGAAGGCACAGATTTAATTCTACATTTCAAGGTTGCAACTTTATATAAATTTTTTCATTAAAACTATAGGTTAAATATAAAATCGTTTGTCTTTTTGTGACAAATTTGATAAATTTCCATCTATCTCATATATGTCTCTATGTTTATATGTTTGTACCCCTCGGGGGTTAGTGGTGTAGGTATTAGATTGAAGATCAATTTAGATGAACAACGAATAAATTTTATATCCCCCGAGTTGAGGGACTTACAGGCTTAGCACCCTGTCATGCCGGACAAAACTCTGTTTAGTCTGAGTCTACTAGCCCAAGGCGGCAAACCCTGCAGTTAGCAAATAAAAAATTTATAATAATATATAAAATTTTAAGTAGAGAAATAAAAGAATAGGGAAAAGAAAAAAAGGATAAATATATAAAAAAATGTTATAAGGACAACTTTGTAGCTCTACACTGTACACTGTGACATTGCACTTATTGGCTGATTTTTAGAACAAATTGCCGATTAATACACTAAAAAAAAATTCTTGCACACATGACCATTGGAATCGGACCAAATCAAGATCGACCAGTGACCGATTCCGAGTTAGTCGACCGATATTTTAAAAATCGGCCGATCTTTTAAACACTGATTCTAAGAAAATGAACTACTCTCTCCTCACATAATCCCCTTTCTCTCTTTCTCTCGCCCTATGATCTAGGAGACACTCTCCTCTCTCTCTTCCCTATATCTTTAAATTTAGGGACACATTGTTTTTAGGGGTCTATCATATCTACTTTGCAAAGCATGTACCTTCTTATTCATCTGACATGTCTCCGCCCCTTAACTCTTGCTTAATAATATATTATAAATAAGTAATTATTACCAGGGAAACAATATATAAAGACAATGGATATCTCTATAAATCTCTCTGTAGCTATCTCATGCCGTCATTCTTTAAATATGTCTTTAATTTTAACAAACACAATCAAATCTATCTCTTTTGATTCCTAGATTGTATAGGAAACTAATTCCTAGATTGTATGGAAAAGCAAGACTCCTATGATTTCTCTCAAAAATTCCAGCTATCTATCATAAATAAATATATTCAAAACATTAAATAAATAAGAGATTGTACAATGAAACCATTTATCTTTAATACAAGGTGGTCACAGTTCCTTACAATCATTCGATGTGAGATTTGATAGCTTGGATGTGTTATAAAGTTCGAAAAAACTTCTTTTGAAGTTTGAGCTTGATCAATAAAATAATTGCAGCCACCAATTGCACATCCAATGGTCATGATTAATGTGAACAACTTGTATCAAAGGTAAATGGTCTCATTCTATACTTTCCCAATAAATAATTAAGGATATTTTACAATGATGAAAATAGACAAATAAAAATGGATATGAATTTTATTTTTTTAAAAAGGAAGCAGCCTACTTGAATCTAGGTAACAACAAAAACAATTTTTTTTAAAAAAAATTAAGATAATTTATAATTATAAAATATTTAAAAATAAAAATATATTAAAACATGAAGAAATAACATTCAAATAAAATGTTAAAAAGAAACCACAGTAACCATAAAAATTGTTTTTGATAAATTTTAAAAATTGGTTACAAATGAAATTACTGAGCATAAAAATTCATAATCTATTTTTTAAAGAATTTTAGTTTTACAGTAATGAGCCTTGTATCAAGGACAATGCTATTTATTTATAACTTTTAAAATCCATATTAAAAATTGGTATAAAAAGTATAATCAAATAAAGACAAAATATTATGGCAATAATCTTATTATCATACTTATAGTTATTAATGATTATTACTATTAGGATTGTATACTATGAGATCTTCTTTCTTTTTTACAAAGAGGTCACAATTACTCCCAACCATTAGATTTCAAATTAGATGGTTGGGATGTTTCGCCTATTTCGATATTTTTTCTTTTTTGACCTTTGAGTCTATTCAATGACACTCTTACAACCACCCAATTTGAAATCTGACCAACATAAGTGATTGTGACCTCCTTATACTAAAAATAAATGTTCTCTTTGTAAACTTTTCAATTAGTATTTTAATATTAGCTCTATTGAACACACTAGTCTCCATTTTTTTTGGGTAAGTATATTATAAACGAAATGCCAAAGAATGCTTCTACATTTTTATCAAACTTCCAAATATACAAAAAAAAAAAAAAAAATGAAACTGTAAAGAATTCAAAGAGAAAGAATGTGTAATGATTGATAACAAAATATAGGAGAAAATTTT